TATTAGGCAAGAACTGTGGAGCATAAATTGGGAACAAATGTTCTCAGGGAAATGCACGACAGAAATGTGGAGGTTGTTTAAGGAGCACTTGCTACGAGTTCTGGATAGGTTTGTCCCACTGAGGCAAGGAAGGGATGGTAAGGTGAAGGTACCTTGAATGACAAGACATGTGGAACATCGAGTCAACAGGAAAAGGAAGCTTACTTAAGGTTGAGGATGCAAGGATCAGACAGGGGTCTAGAGGGCTACAAGGTAGCCAGGAAGGAATTGAAAAATGGACTTAGGAGAGCTGGAAGGGGCTATGAAAAAGCCTTGGCGGGTAGGATTAAGGAAAACCCCAGGGCGTTCTATACTTATGTGAGGAACAAGAGAATGGCCAGAGTGAGGGTAGGGCTGATCAGGGATAGTGAAGGGAACTTGTGCCTGAAATCGGAGGTGGTAGGGGAGGTCCTTAATGAATATTTTGCTTCAGTCTTCACTAGTGAGAGGGACCTTGATGTTTGTGAGGACAGCGTGAAACAGGCTGATATGCTCAAACAGGTTGATGTTAGGAAGGAGGATGTGCTAGAAATTTTGAAAAACATGAGGATAGCCAAGTCCCCGGGCCAGACGGGATGTACCCAAGGTTACTAAGGGAAGAGATTGCTGCACCTTTGGCGAAGATCTTTGCGTCCTCACTGTCCACTGGAGTAGTACCAGATGATTGGAGGGTGGCAAATGTTATTCCCTTGTTCAAGAAAGGGATTAGGAATAATCCTGGGAATTACAGACCAGTCAGTCTTACTTCTGTGGTGGGCAAATTATTGGAGAGGATTCGAAGAGATAGTATTTGTGATTATTTGGAAAAGCACAGTTTGATTAGAAATAGTCAGCGTGGCTTTGTGAGGGGCAGGTCATGCCTCACAAGCCTTATTGAATTCTTTGAGGATGTGACAAAACACATTGTTGAAGGTTGAGCAGTGGATGTCGTGTATATGGATTTTAGCAAGGCATTTGATAAGGTTCCCCATGGTAGGCTCATTCAGAAAGTAAGGAAGCATGGGATTCAGGGAAATTTGGCTGTCTGGATACAGAATTGGCTGTCCAATAGAAGACAGAGGGTGGTAGTAGGTGGAAAGTATTCAGCCTGGAGCTCGGTGATCAGTGGTGTTCCGCAGGGATCTGTTCTGGGACCTCTGCTCTTTATGATCTTTATAAATGACTTAGATGAGGAAGTGGAAGAGTAGGTTAGTAAGTTTGCTGATGATACGAAGGTTGGAGGAGTTGTGGATAGTGTGGAGGGCTGTTGTAGGTTGCAACAGGACATTGACAGGATGCAGAGCTGGGCAAAGAAGTGGCAGATGGAATTCAACCCAGAAAAGTGTGAAGTGATTCATTTTTGGAAGGTCAAATTTGAATGCAGAATACAGGGTTAATGGCAGGATTCTTGGCAGTGTGGAGGAACAGAGTCAGGGTCCACATCCATAGATCCCTCAAAGTTGCTACCCAAGTTGACAGGGTTGTCAAGAAGGCATATGGTGTGTTGGCTCTCATTGGCAGGGGAATTGAGTTTAAGAGCTGCAAGGTTATGCCACAGCTCTATAAAACCCTGGTTAAACCACACTTGGACTATTGTGCTCAGTTCTGGTTGCCTCATTATAGGAAGGATGTGGAAGCTTTAGAGAGGATGCAGAAGAGATTTACCAGGATGCTGCCTGGACTGGAGGGCAGGTCTTATGAGGAAAGGTTGAGGAAGCTAGGGCTTTTCTCATAGGAGCAAAGAAGGATGACAGGTGACTTGATAGAGGTGTACAAAATGATAAGGGCATAGATAGAGCGGATAGCCAGAGACTTTTCCCCAGGCCAGAAGTGACTATTATGAGGGGGCATAATTTTAAGGTGATTGGAGGAAGGTATAGGGGGGATGTCAGAGGTAGGTTCTTTACACAGAGTGGTGGGTGTGTGGAATGCACTGCCAGCAGTGGTAGTGGAATCAGATACATTAGGGACATTCAAGCGACTCTTGGATAGGCACATAGATGATAGTAAAATGTAGGGTATGCAGGGTAGTTTGATCTTAGTAGGATAATAGGTCGGCACAACATTGTGGGTCGAAGAACAGTACAGCACAGTACAGGCCCTATGTTCTGTGAAGCAATTTTAAACTAAATTAAAATGTTAAAATTATCTGGTAGCATTGTAAGATTAAAGTAAGTTTAAAAAAACCTGAGCACACAAAGTAGACTGATGGAAGGGATAAATAAAGTTACCTGCCATGTTACCTGGGAGAACTGAAAGACAATATTGGCAAATTACCCAGGTTTTTCAGAATTATGGTACACAAAGTAAAGACATGCAAGGCATCTATAGCTACCTTTTACAAAAAAAGCAGTGCAAATATACATTTCCTATCATGTAACCATTGCAGTTTATTTCCTGCAATTTCACTTCAGGCCAACTAGAAGAAATTAGTTTGGAAATAAACAGCAAAAACTACAACACTCATCACTTGAAGTAACCACGTCAATACTAATGCTATTTGTTTGGGAATTGTTAAAAACTGTAATACTATCATTGAATAAGATGTATGAAAATCACCAAACACCATGACCCATTAGATTTAGAAAGGATTAAGTCCACTGAATAATTGCACTTTAATTAGGTACAAATGTTTGTTTTCACAGTCATTGCCAAATGTAATACAAGCTGCAACCCATTAGTTAGTTAGTAATAATCAAAGAAATTGTTTTTGCATAATTTGCACCTCATTCAAGTGTTGACTCCATGAGATACTTAGTGTGCCGCAAGTGACAAACTGCCAATTTGTACTGAGGTTGTTAATCTCAACTGAGACAGCAGCAACAGAACGGCAGTAAACCTAAGCGCCTTTGAATCGGAAAATCAATGGCCAAAATTCCAGGTCTGGAATTCAGTAACTCCTGGATGCAGCAAGACCTACACAACATCTAGGTGTGAGCTGTTTACTAACTTTTTTTTTAAAAAACTCATTTACAGGCTGTGGGCATCGCCAGCATTTAATGCCCATCCTGAATTCCCCAGAAGGCACTTTGTAAGCCACATTGCTGGAATCACATGTAGGCCAGACCAGATAAGGATAGCAGTTTCCTTCCCTCAAGGACATTAGTGAACATGAAAAATCAACACCCCAGTTTCGTGGTCATCATCAGATTCTTATTTCCAAACAATTACTGAATTCAAATCGTACCTTAGCAGATTTAGGATTTGAATCCCGGTCCCCAGAACATTACCCGAGTCTCTGGATTAACAGTCCATCAATAATACCACTAGGCTATTGCCTCCAATGGCCAGCCCAATGAGATAACCACTTTTCTTTAGCATCCAATATCAATGCCAACATCAAGTCCCCATCAGCTACATTCTGAGTGCTCAAAATTAAAAAGCCAAAAACAGGAAGAGCTACACAAATCCAATAGCTATTAGAGCAGGCTGAGAACGCTATAGTAATTAGTTCACGTCTCAAGTTCCTTGTTTAAATGAGTACAGTACAAGCAACATAATAAAAAGCCCAAAAAGTTTGGTTTCTCTCTCCACAGATGCTGAGTGACTGGCTGAGTTTCTCCAGCACTTTGTTTGTTTGTTAAAAAGCTGTTTAATTGATTAGCGCCCAGTCACCAGCTTAACCAACAATTCTCTCCAACATCAGTCTAACTTGGCTAAATTAAGTCCTATCTCCAGGATATGTTCCAAAGCTTTTTGAACAGCATTTACTAAGCCTATAAAAAAGACATGTGTGGCATGAAAACACTAAGCTCTATTTTACAGTCCAAGGTACACACAGACTCAAGACATAAATTGCCATTCCCTCTTAGTTGTTCGGTTCAAACTCTAGAATTCTGTATTCAAATCATTGTACAAGCACCTTTGCCACACAGACTACAACAGGTTTGGAATGATTAGGGACAAGCAATAAATGTTGGTCCTTCTCACATATCAAAAGTATACTTAAAAACTTCTACTGAAAAATATTGAGACCAGTACTGAACTTCATTATAAATTGTACATAAGACATCCAGTTAATGACATTTTCAGGGCAAGGATAGGTTTGCAACAGCAAAACACTGCTGGTGGGTTTCTGAAATTCAATGAGGAAACACAGGAATTTCTTAGCAGGTCTGGCAGCATCTTTCGAGGAGTAACACAAGAGTGAACGTTTAACATCTGAAATATGTTGTCAGATCATTGACGTGAAACTTCAACTATTTCTCTCTGCTCGCATGTTGTCAGACCTGCTATGTAAAATCCGCATAAAAACAAAATGCTTACGGACTCTCCTAAAAGCTCAGCAAGGTATGATATCAAGAATACTTCAGGAACATATTAAATTCAAACTTTAGCTATGTCATTATGGGGCAATTTCCACAGAGCAGTGATCGACCAGCCATATCTAGCATAAAAACTTAAAGAGTACATTTTTTTTCCTAAGCAGTTGTACATTATTGAGCAAGTAGGTTTTGAACCCAGGTATCCTGACTCAGAGATAGGGACACTACGACTGTGCCACTAGAACCTCAGCAACAAACTAGCCAGGAAAATATACATAAATTTGTGAGAACAGGATTAGCTGGACAATAATGCCCCCCACACAATCAATATTCAGACACCTGCACTCCAGTTACAACCAAATAAAGAACCCAAAATTACAAGAAATGCACAAATGCAAGGAAAGCAATGAAACAAATTGACAGCACCCTGTAAATGAAGAATAAACACCAGGGAGAAGTTAAATAAAAGGTGAAAGCTCAGGAGTCCAACTGGTGTAATTTACAGAGGCAAAAGTAAATGGGGGGGGGGGGGGGGGGGGGGGTGGGGGGGGGGGGGGGGGGGG